AATGGTTTTTGCATGTTTTTGCCAACCGCCCTCAGCCCTTCGTGTTCGACACCACTGTTGCTGGCCCAGCTGCGCTGATATTTCTGCAAGGTTGCCTGCACGTGTATGCACGGTGCAATCAAACAAAGATTTGTCGTCCTTGCGTTGAACCTATTCCATTCACACTTTGAAAGCACAACGACACTGCCTTCGTATTGAATTTGTTCAAAGGAAATCACAGGACGGCCCTTTGTCCTTCAGAACAATTTCAATGTCAATATCGACCAATACTACAACATTTTATTCTCAGTACATCTGGCTGCCTCTCTCTGCCCCTATGACTCACACCTTGCCTCCGGCAGAACTTGCAGGTCTTCTACTCCTCAGCAGCTGCTTGGAGTGATCATGACCGTGGTTGGGTTTGGCACGCACGGAGTTAGAGGAATCAATTCAGAACTGAGCTGCTAAGCTTACTGTAAATCGTTGATGTGACATGGGCGTTGCTCGCGGTGTTCATCCCTTCAGTGTTCCGAACTTGCTCGCGTTGCTCGCGGCATCCCTCTCTCCGAACTGGAGAAGAGCTTCGAGTAACGCTGTAAGGGTCAACAAATGCTCCAGCTGTTGGCTGTTGGCTGTCCAGGGCTCCACGGGCGATTGTGAATAGTGGGAGATGAGTCAACTAGCAGCGCTAGGAGTCACTAGGAACTTCTTGCCGCTTTGGGCACCCAGGTGCTGCCTAGAATCTGTTCATGCTAGTGTTGTGCTTGCCGTCCAGATGTCTTGTAACCTTTTTGGGGAGATGGAGCGTTTGTATTGCGCATGGTGCAGCACATTGCTCCGCAAAAGGCGGGCCAATGGACTCCAGACCGTGGGGAGGCCCGCGGTAGACCTGCAAATGCGACCGGTTAAGGTCGTTTAAGTCACACTCCCGCTCGAAAACCACCGGCGGATCTCTTCTAGAACAGCAGCTTCGGGATTCCTGGACGAGGTTGCTCAACAAATAACTCCGTCTATTATAATATGTGTATAGTATATGCTATATATGTGTGTAAACAAATAGATACATATATCGGCACTATATATAAGAGATACTATAAGACTATAAGAGATCACTCTGAGTGCCCGCAATACACACGAGAAAGGCGGCGCGAGGCCTCATGGTGGATCCATGAAGTCCATGCGGATGCACAGCACAGTCCCTCTGGACTGCACTACCGATCCACACGGTGCCTGCCAATAAGCAAGAACAAAAGAGAAAGCAGTTTTTCACTACCTGGTCTCTACCCCCAGGCTGATACAAATGTCTGATACTGATATGGTAGAGATGGTTATAGCCTTTTGGGAGCCATGATAGCTTCTGGGTGGTGAGGGCGGATGGCCAAAAATATCTGCAGACTACTATAGGCTACCAGGTGACGTTGACTGATTGGAGACCACTCCGCAGCTTCGGCGTTCACACTCCCCCGATCTAAATCCCAGCGTCTCACTTGGGCAGTGCATCCCTCACGGCCATAGAGGGGGCAATGGATTGCCACACGCCGTTCCTCGATCTGGCCTGACACGTTCAGCTGAGGGTGGCACTACTACAGGCACCATGTCGTAGCACTCCAAGCATCGGCGAAGAAAACGCGGGTGCCGTAGATACGAAGTACATGACGTGATCTTCCAGAAACGGTCTATGTAAGTGGGGTCCAAGTCTACTAAAGCATCCAAACCCATGCTGCCACTCGTGCCTTGATCTGCTTCTGTATGTCGCTGTATGTTTTTACACTGGCATGGGCTTTTGTGAGCCCCATCGGTTTGCTACTCCCCGCTCCGCAGCACCCACCTTGCAAGTAGCGTCTCAAGCAGTGCACGCAGACCTGATCATTGCATTCCACCGACACGGAGAGCCCCAAGCGAGCCACGGCAGCCACGGCGTCTTGAGGGCCAAAAGCATCCAAAAGCCAAGAATTGGAGTGGTTTACAGTGGCTTGATGCTTCATGCGAACACGTCATGTCCGACGTGTTCAAGGAAAGCCATCTCATCGGCCAACGGCCCACGGTGGCACGGCAAACAGGTTGTGTTGGAATTTGGAGGTCTGTCCTGCTTGCGTTTTGTTTTAAGCCCGCCCTTACTTAATTAACTACTCGCCCACTTAATTAAGAAAGGAAGTATATATATATATACTCCTAGCTACTATAATATAGTGAGCCTCTAGTAACTGGACGCAGGATAGCTGACGCTTCTTCAAGGAAGCTCCCCCTGCCTGAGGGCGGGGGCGGAGCTTCCTTGACAAGAAGCGCTCGCACTAATGATTGGTTCCTAGATTGTTTGGGAAACTTAACTCTCCAACCACGCTCCTGCTTGCGACTCGTCACCACGTGGGTGGGCGCGCAGCACTCTATGAAGGAGCATTGGATCAGGGAGTCACAGGGCTGCAAGCAAATCCTCAAACCGGGTGCAATGTTCGGAGCTTTTTCACTCTGACGACTGTGGCGCTCTGTCTGTCTTGCTTTCTTTCCTCCTTGCTTGCTTTCGTTCTTCCTTTCTTTCTCTCCCTCCCCTTCCTGCAGAGTTGAGCTGTCTCACATGATTCCTGCTGTATCAATTCATGATGCTTTCCGCCAGTTCCTTCTAAGTGACTACAGTGAGCCTTCTTTCTTCTGGGTCCTTATGGATGTGGTTGTGGCGCGATTGCCTGCCTGACTGGTGTCAAATAATGTAAAATGTAAAATACCCTTCCAGCAGTCACAAAGGAGGGCCTATTGAAGGATACGGGTGCCCATTATCCACTCACTTAGGGACTAAAACCCGCCCTTTGTGACTCCTGGTTCATTCATCTTCATTCCCTCCCGCTGTCCTGCATTGGAACTCCCCTCGCGCTGCCAACGACGGCAGCGCCAGGGCCAAGGCGGCCACGGCCGCGCGTGTGGCTGCGGCGCCTGCACGGCAGCGACGATGCGGCACCACGGGAGGAAGCAACAGACGACGTGGGAGGTGAGGAAGCAGCATGACAATTCAAGAGAGAGGGAGAGGGAGAGGGAGAGAAAGAGAGAGAGGATTGGAGGGCGCAAGGGCAGCCTTGCACTCTCATCTAGGATGAAATCATGGCCCGGTGGCCCGTCCTGGTGCCGAAGTTCGTGGTGGCTGGAAGATGTCTGAAGTCTAAGGTGGTCCAGCATCCACTGTTCGTGAGTACATGAGCAATGCAGGTTCTCACAGCACAGAAGGGGCGCTACAGCACAGAGGCGCTACAGCACAGGGTCGAAACGCCACATCGTCGCCGGAACGCCCTAAGAATATCCGACCAAACGTGTCCGAAAACAAACGTCCTGAAGGGATCGAAACTTTGGAACCCACAGAGTTGCAGATCATCATCCCACTGCTCATCCCATCATGCCACAGAGTTCCAGATTTGACCTTTTTTCCAAGGGCCAAATTCATGCTAAGTCATGCTGACTGGATGGTCCTTCTGAGCAAATTCATGTAAGTCGCTGCGACCACGCCTGCCAAGTGCAGCTGATTGCACTCTATAGTGTAGTAATTAGCACGATTTCCCCCCATGGGTGGGGCGGCCTAGCCCAAAACCCACTGACATCTATACATCTAACATCATCTAACCACCAAAACGAGTGCCGAATGCGGTCTCCTCTCACAGTTCCCCCACCAACGCAGGTCCGCGCGCACGCGCGCCGCTGAACCTTCAGAGTTGCTGCGCGCCACGGCAGGCAGCGCCTCCTCGCCCACCGCGTGGGGCAGCGGCGAACTCTTCACGCGCGCGAGCTCCATGGCAGCGGCCGAACCCGTACAGCGGGAACTGTGGAGGAAATGCGGGGGGTGGTGTGGAGCTCAGAATGGTGGGTTTGATGTGTGTTGGGTTGTATTGTAGTGCCACCCATCCACCCAACAAAAATCTGGAGTTGCCCTTGCGAAGCCGTACAGCGGTTGTGAAATGCACTGAGCTCATTGGAGGAATGTCTTGTCAGTAGTTGGTGGGGGCACCCTGTCGGCGTTGGTCACTTCATCAATTGCCAGCCACTCCTGCCTTTTACTTGAATGGACGACGCTCTTCTTTTGGCACCTTCATCCCAACATCGAAAGGTGCAATAAGAATACAGCCTCTTCGGAAGGGGTTCAACTGGAATGCATTGCACTGCACGCAGGAAAGGACAAATGCTGATTTCACCGCAAACCACTGTTGTTGTTGTTGTTGTTGCTGTTGTTTATACATGTTTATACTATATATATACATATCTTTTTGGGGGCACAAAATGAGTATGTTATATACTTGCTAGCATGTCAACCAGAAAATGAAGGAACAAACGGCATAGGGCCCGCCGCTGGCATGGTCACACTGCATGCTCTGCCTATCAGGCTTTTCGACGCCTCCTCGCCGCCCCCTCGGGGGGGTCGTTCAATTAGTGGGTCTGGGGAGAATGGAGCCAGAGCGGGTTGACCACGCGGTGGGCGAAGTTGGTGGCAAACATCATCTCTCAGAATGGACCGGCGGCAAGTCCAGTGGTACTGCCTCAATGTATATTATAAACCCCCTCAAAAAATGTTTATAAAAATATAAATACATACCAAGCTCCAGCTCGAGCTGGTGCTGGTGCTGCTGCTGGTGTTGGTGATGGTAGTGGTGGCGGCGGGGGCTCAAGGTCCAAAATCATCACTAAGGTGGCCAGAGTTCAGCTGCACAGCTGCACACCTCATTTACCTTTGAGCCTCCCCAACTGTTTTGTCAAGAAGCTATTCAGTACACCCGAACGCTGTCTAAGGTGGTTTACCTAGGGGTTTTGCTGCTCCGAACGCGCCTGCTCTAGCCAGTGTAAAAAGGGCCAGAAAATTAACATATTCAGCTGGCTCCAAGTAGGATCTCGGTACATCTCGGTGTCACTATTAGCTACAGTATGCAGCATTTGGATGGGTCTCCTCCCAGGTCACTCGTCCTTTTCGGCGACGATCCCCGGTCACCACCGGCGTCCTACCGCGGTGTCCTACCGCGCCGTCGACCGGCGTGAAGCGCTGACTGCGGCGCCTCTTCTTCTTTGTGCATTCCGGTGACGGAGCCCTCCAACACGACGATGTAACGGACGCCTGTCAGAAGTAACGGACGTGGGTGGTTTCAATTCACTTAAATCACATTCTATATATATATATATATACAGTGTTATAATCAGTGGGTTCAGTCGTCCCAAGTGAAATTTGGAACACAAACACATCCAAAACATTCCAAAACCACCACCTAGAAGTTGTTTAAAGCCTTCTCCCGTTCCATCCTTAGCATCCTGATCCTAGTCCTAGCCCACCCACGTGTCCCATCTCGCCCCGTCAATGTAGTCAGTACCTGGCACCGGACGTCGAGCATTTGAAGGTGTCAAACCCTCTCACGGAAGCCAGGGAAAGGAATCCAACACGTGGAACTATAGTGCATAGGTCTACTCCAAAGGATTGGTGATTTTCTCTCACCATCCACCTGGGATGGATGAATATCCGCAAGACTTCCACATCACCAAGCTCGGGCCTTCCTGCACTGCAGCACCGGCAGGTAGATCCTTGATGACCTCGTTCAGAGCCGAGAGCCGAGAGCTGAACGAGCGAGGGAGCCGAGCGACGAGGCCGTCGACCTTCCGCAGAGGCCAGGCACCGTGGAGGGAGGCGGGTCTTTAAGTCTGTCTGAACGTCCAGGCTCGTCCTGAAAGTTCACTGTACGATCTGGATCTAGCGATAGTACTGCTCTGAGAAGTACCAGGCACGGATGATCTGCCATATCACCCCAAACATCTGCCCAAGCAAAAGACCATGGAGCATGCAAAAATGCGAAAGGCAAAGCATGGTAAAGCATCGCAAAGCATAGAACACCCCATTACAACCAATTGATCCATTCACACCTGGCCGCTTGCTCCCTCCTGCTTCGATCCTGCCATTCTCGTTTCGCACCCGAGGTGCAATGGCTTTCGCAATGTCATTCCGCTGCGTCGAGGAGAACTGCGACATCACCGGGCACATCCTGCCCGTCGGAGCCGTCGGAGCAGCCCGGCGGCGAAGGCGGCGAAGGCGAACGGTGGACCCGATTCTGCGGGATGAAACACAGGTGATCATGGTGATTCATATAAGAATCGTGTGTTGGTCGTCATCATCATCATCATCATCATAATCATCAACCTCGTGTGGTCCATAAACACCATGTGTGGCACTTTTCTTGACACGTTGGTCATTCAATGTCATTCATGAACACTGCGTCCCAGCCAGGGCCAGGGGCAAGCTCCACTCCACAGGGCCGAAGGCCAACTCACCCGACCTTAAACCCTTGTTGACCAAGGCCGTCTCCAGAATCTTGGCCAAATTGTTCCCCAAGATCTCCTTCAAGTCCTGGAAGGCTTTCAGGATACAAGGTGTGCGCGCTTCTGGATTTGTCTGGATTTCTAGTAGAAATTCTACAGGTCACACAAACTGGAGGAAGACAAAGTGCACCTCAAAGTGGCCAACGAAACTGATGACCTAGAGTCGCACTGCTGAAGCTTCTCGCAATATCCACTGCAAGTTCGAGTTCTTCACCTTTTGTGGATTGTGTTCAGCCTTTTTGTACCGAACAAAAGGAAACAAATGTGCACATGAGCTCCTCACAGCCGACTCGCTTCCTAGTAAGTAAGAGTGCTTTGACCAGGGAAAAGACGCAATCGGTAAAGACCTGGTGACGTTTTTGGAACCACAAAACCGCAGCCGCACAAAAGAAAGAACATGCTGCCCAGTCAGCCGGGAGGACTTCTCCTTCACGCTGATGCACAAGAGCTCCGTCCTCAGAGTTCACTTTTGAGCCAGCCTTCCCATGGGATGGTAGAGAACTACAAAGCTACCAGCCATGGGGTGGAAAGCCTTTTTAAAGCTAACTGCCCCAACCATGGGGTGTGCGTAAATCGGATTTCTCCTGCCCCAAGCATCACCCGAAGTTCGCACCTCCAACCACGAACCACCATGCATCACCCAACTCCGTCGGCCCAGCGGCTTTGCATCGGCCAGCAAGGTGTTTTCCCACATCGGCCTGCCGACGTCAGATCGGCGGAGGGGGAAACCACCTTCGCACTCACCCTTGTAAATGGTGATCTTCCCAAACCACCTCGTTTACTAAGGGTCGATACAGAACCTGCGCCAAATCTCAATGCACTCGCTGCTCCGGGCTGTTTATATAGGTATGTTTGCTCCTCCCTTAGGGAAAGCCAACCAATCAAACCAAAAGCTTTGGGGTTCAATAGTCAAAGACCCTCCAAGTCACTCTTAGGCAAGGCTGACTTCTACACTTCTACTGGCTGAATGAATAGGACCCGGGCTGCATAGTCTGGCCAAACAAAGTGGAATCCCCACTCAACTATGAGAAAATCACCCGCCAAAGGTGCGACTGGATGGGCATCTGCAATCGAAGTCGAAGTCAGGATTGCACAAATATATTCCATTGGTTAGCCCAAAGCGCTTCAGGATGGTAAGGTCGTGTCCCAAAAACGTGCTTGGCGGCCAAGCCGAAGAGAAAAATAGCTGGGGACACGTGGTGGCAAGCCATGGGGTAAGAAGGGATATATATAAGACCATGGGAATTGTTTCGCACAGCTCTCTCACACACACGATCTTCAGGTGCCATGGTGTTACTTTTTACAATCCCAATTCATCCACTGTTGGACCACCCCGATTTCAGGCGACCCCATGGGACCCTTATTAAAAAAAATGCGACCGAGGCTTTCTTAATAGGGGAGGGCGTGTTTTTTAATAGGTGGAAGGGATTGTTGCCCATCCAGCCCCTTCCAAAGGATAGATAAGACCGCTCACCCAACCTCGCATACCAGGGGCACTGAATCAAACCCAGGGCCCAAGCAGCAAGTCCATTCCACACCATCCTCTCTCTATGGTTCACCAACCACGACAGTCACATGCGGCGACACCAAGGAGCAGGTGCCTGGTCTTGGCACTTAAGAGCAGCGCGGCGCCAATGTATTCACCCGAGGACAGGTGGTGCTCCTGGCACTGTCGGCGACATGTGCGACATCGGCGCATGTCAAAGTGCCTGGCGGTGAACCCTGCGGCACAAAGCGGACAGGAGTCTTCCAGACGCCCATCTTTCATGCGATCGAAGGAAAGTAGGACCTGTGACTGGCTTACACGGATTTCACATATAAAACATATTAAGCAGCCTGCAACATGGTCTGTTCGGTGAAGGCGCTGCGCTGAGCTGTGGCGCCTTGTTGCCGTTTCTCCTTTTGGACCCACCCTGCCACCACCCAGCATTCACTTTGCCTCGTTGCCACCGGAGAACTTGCCATCGGCTTTCACCTCTCCACCAGTCATCACTTTCAAGCCACCCTTCTTCACCTGGGTGGCCCCGCATTCTTCGGTGGAGCTCGGCGCCGCCGCGAGGCTCGCTGCCGGTAGCGCTGCTGCCCGAGCTCCGAGCGCGGAGCTCGGGCCATTCGGTGACCCAGTTGACGGGCCAGTGACCCCCTTAGAAGGGCCTTCAAGGTCACGTGTGAGGCCTCGCCGGTCCGGTCGCGTGAGGTCTCACGAAAGGCCCCGCAATGAATGGGGTGTTTCGCTTGCTCGCCCTGCTGTTCCTAGCAAGAATGCTCCTAGTAGCGATGGAGAATTCAGAATTCGTGGCCGGCGGAGGTGCCCAAAAAATATGAGAAACACGAACGGGCACGACAGCGATTCCTCACGAGGACGTTATGACTGGAAGTTGTTTTTCTGAACAGATTTGATGAAGCTGCAAGTCCAAAAAAATGAGGCTTTGTCTATCCATTTCTGTAAGTTAGGCTACCTAGAGAGCAAATCCACGAACCAAGAACCACACTGAGGCAACAAAGGGCAAAAGAATAGAACGACTGTAGTATTGTAGTCCCAGGCTTGGGCACCATGGTCCTGAAACACCGGACTCAACATCTTCCTCTTTAAACAAGGGCCCTCTTCGGCTGCTGGTCCTCATACCTCGGCGCCCCCGTTGGTCCGTTGCTCCCGTTCCTTCCGTGTCAGCCGACACCGGCCAGTCCCGTCCCGCGTCGCCCAGGGGCGAAGTAAATGGCCGCCAGCGTCTCGCCCTGCGTGGCCACGCGCTGCCCGGCATCGAACCACTCGCTGAGCGCGGACAAGGCAATCTGGTCCTTCGCGCGCGCGTTGGCGAAGCGCGAAGCGCGTTTGGCAAACGTCCGGTTTTCTGGACTGGAGGGGGTCGCTGGCATGGTAAATCACCCTCAGGTTTTTAGATGTTGCTTAGGGCCAAAAAGACGTGAGATCAAAGGGTGGTTGAAGGCCTACAGGTGGTTCTGCACTGTGATCCAACGTTATCTTTTCATATCTTTTCGTTCAGACCCCAACCAGCGCCTTCTGCTTCTGGTTCAGACCATCGAAGACCTTGATGGAGTCCAGGAACTTCAGGTTGTCTGCCTCATGAGGAACAGTCACTACAGCGCTCCAAAGCTGGGCGTTGCAGAGGGTGACCGCCTTGACCCATGGGTCGACTGGAAAAGCCCATGGTTCTAGGTACAGGATGACTGGAAATCCCGTCTGCTCTGTCTATTCTGTTCGACCGTGCGCCTGAAAAAGGCCATCGATGCCTACAAGTAAAACCCAAGGGCCCCAAGGGTTGGCTCGGCATTTTTTTGATCTTTGGCTTGCAAAGTCCATCTCAAATCAGGCCTGCCTCACTACCCTAGGTCAAAACCACTCAAGAATTGCCGGAAATGTGGGGGGAGCATGTGTCAACCGATCATGCACCAGAATCGGCGCACCAGCAAACACCACATCAACCAGCAAACACTTTTCCCTACAACACGCACATGCAAGCGACAGCTCACTCCCCCAAAACCAGCCCGCCCACGCCCAACAAATGGCAACAAAAGGATATCACCACTATAGCAGCTAGTGCGCAGCATTTCTGGGGTTCAAGTGGCATGCCTTCAGCTTCTGGGTCTGGAACACCACATGAATCGACTCTAGAGCTCGAAGGAACCGACGTTCCGCTCCGTCGCCGGCCTGGCGGTTGGCCGCATTCTGTGCCAAGACCTGCCAGGCGGTTTGGTGGGCGACGTGAGGTGGGACTCTCTCAGCCGGCTGAGAAGCACAGGTGGCAGGCCCACCTCAAGAAGAAGCGGACATAGTCCAGTGGGCATCCTGAATATTTTGAGTGAGAGTTCTATTGAGACATTTGATGCAAAAGATCCTGATCTATCATGATCTATCATGATCTGCATGATCAGAATCCAGTCCGCTCCAAAGACCTGGCCGGACTGGACTTGTGATTGAAAAGGCCACGCGGACGGCGCGAGAAGCGGCCACACCTGCTTGAAGTTGTGCCCATTGGCGCCCCAAACTCCAGCATCGATCAGCGCCTTGACCGTCGCCGTCCTGGCAACGCTCAACAACACTGGCACTGTTCATCTGAAGGAAAAACCCGCAACGCTTTCGCCCATCTAGGCAAAAGGGTGCTGGTAGGGGATAACTGGTATGGTATATGGTATATGATATACATGTGTATAGGCCATATACACTTGTCCTTTTGTTCCTTGTGCGTGTGCATGCAGGCCTCCCAAGAAGTACATTTTTGAGCTACTGTTGACTCGCTCAGAACTACCATGAACTACCAGACAATTCGTTGAGGAAGTGTGGAGTTCAACTCGTTGAGGAAGTGTGGTGTTCTTCACATTTGGCAGGTTGGATCATCAAGGGAGGTCATCCCATCTAGCTGTGCCGGAGGACCCGAAAAACGCCGAGCACCACTCTACCAACCCTTTTCTCTCAGGTCGAGTGCGGCCGAGGCCCCTGGCCGAAGACGAGGTACCAACAGTCTAGAAATCTGTCCGCCCGGCAGTTCAGCCCATCGCATCAGACTGATTCAATCCATTTCAATCCAGTTCGAACCAATGGACTCGGGACCCAGAAATTCAGATGTCGCATGAAACCAAACCAAACATTCAAACCCCACCGGATTCGGCGGCCTGGGGCAGTTGTACAGCAACGCAAGGCCTTTGAGAGTCGGAGATGAAGTTTCAACGAAATGGGCTGGTTGGGTGGTTGAACCATCATCCCAGGAAAGCAACTGGCCAACTGGGAGCATAGGATTAATATATATATATATATAATGGGATGGAATCTGCAAAAACCATCAGAAAATCCACCACTCCGTCACGTTGCAGCTAGAGACACGAAACACTAGGGAAAAAAAGTGCGTTCTATCTGTCTTTGCTTTCCGATGTGTAGTTTAGAGTTTCATTCTCTATGCAAGCTCCAAGCATGAAAGAAAGAAATCCCCTGAACACCACTGGATAGGAGCGAATCCCTATAGAACATTCCATGACCACAAGTTCGATCCTATCCAAGGTGTCTTCGGAGGTTTGAAGGAGCCTCACACCAGAGATTCTTCAGATTAAAGTCGTTGATTGGGTGATTTTGTCCATATTGGACTTAGCCTCGGCAACCTCAGCAATCTTAACTCTCCGGACGCTTCACATCTGCGGTCAGCCAAGACACCACCGAACGCCTGACCTTCCATGAGAGTGTTCACGACATTGCCTTGGGCACCAGCACAATTTGTTGGTCAATAATCGGGTGGTTGATCCATATCGGGTGGTTGATCCATATTCTTTCATGATGGAATGGCCAATTCTATCCAATTCTGCAAAAAAAACTTAATTACAGTGATCCCCAAGCAGATAGTGGCACGGTTTCCAATAATTACATGATATTACATGGTTTCGTGGGGTTCCCAACACATGCCGCCAGGTTTGAGCGGATCTCACAAATCCAAGCTGCCATTGACGCTCACTTCCAACGTGCCCGTGTGCGTGACGAAGAAGGTGGTGCCCATCTTCCCCTGCTCCACGATGACGCCTAGGTCATTGCCGCCCAGGGTGGGCTGCACTCAGTGCGGAAGAAATCTGTTCGGAGTGATGCCTTGAAGTCCTGGAACCCCGAGAGCAATCCTAACCTACACCCCCAAACATTTGTTTGACCAATGCGGCGGTGTCCTTCGCAGCACAAATCCAGATTGACCCCGCAGCACGCAGCTCCCAAGGAACCCTCCCCAAAACCCGCCAAGGACGCCAAGGAGCTTCCTTTGGAAAACCTCGGGAGAGGTCAGGAGGCAGTGGTGCGACCAGAAAAGATGACCAGGACAACACGAACACACGAAGATTGGAGCGATTTTTTTTGGGGGGGAAAGGCTGTTGGCCGCTGACTGATCCCTGAGCTCGAGGAAGGGAGGCAGTGCTTGGGAACAAAAGGCGGGACCACCTCTCCACAATGATTGGCTCCGTCGGTGCCGCCCCCCAAAAAGTAAGAAAACCAACTAAAGGCCGACCTCAGACCAATGCAAGGATGGCTCCCTATAAAGGAGTCTTGTGCTGAAAATATGATATCACAGTACAAAACGTCCTGAAACTGACAGAAACCAACTTCACTGCAATTTTGAGGAGGCTCAGCTTAGCTGGTGGTCTATGTATTCCACGGACCACTACATTAAACCATGCCCCAAATGGAAAGAAGCTGCTCCAAATTGTGCTGGATTATGTGGATATGGAAGGATCACTGAAACCTACAGCCTATCTATAGCTTGGACACTCTACTGCACATACTGCTTCTCAGTTTCCTGGAAGATCTGGTGCAAAACAAGCCACTGGAAGTACTCCATGGTCGACAAGATCGCTTCAATCTGCGGCGAGACATATGGAACCCCTTGTGAGGCCCGGTGGCCACGGTGCCCTGAAGCCTACAGCAACTCACCTCGCAATGATCGCGGGAAGAATGACGCACATCTTCCGGCCCACTGAAGTGGGCTTGCTATGTTCTTAGCTTCTGATTCTGGGGGTGCACCATCATTTCAACATGGAAGTTGCATATATGAGAGGTACTGAGGGGGGGGTTGCTAGGAAGGTGTCAAAGATACAACACCCCAGCGGCGCTCCAGTTGGATGGGGACCTCTCTTCATTGTGTTCCTCGCTCGTAGTCCTTCCTTGGACCAGGGGGGTTGGATTTCAGCTGCGAGCGTTTCTCTGCGCCCGGTCTTGACTCGCACCATCCTACAGGTAACATCCTATATCATCTCCAGTTGGAACATCGTCAGTCATGACCATCTCTATACTATTTCCATTATGACTGCGCACAGTTCATCGTACTTCTGTTTACGGTCCTCCAATGGGGACGCACGCTTCTGTCGCTTCGCTGAGGAGAAGAAAGGGAACTGATCACCGAGACCCGGCAAATCGCGGGCACCAACTAGGAATGGCAGAACCATGCAGAACCCGAACTTGGCCAATGGCAGCACCTCACCGTGACCTCACCCCCCGGCCCCCCCCACCACATGCAGAATCTGCCGGCCTCAGGATCTTCTAAGATGGCGCACACACGATCCTGCTATTTGCTGGTCACAACATGGTGGGAGAGGCAAGCAGGCAAGCTTCAACATCCATCGCCCAGCCCCAAGGAATCGCACCAAAGAGCCCGGGCCCAATCGACCCAAGCACCCGGTGGCCCCCCAATCTCCTGCTTCATCGCCGCCTTGATCAACTCCTTCGTGCCCTGCAGAGCGGGGAACATCCGAGGGGAATCCCCATGGACTGGGCGAGCTTCAGTCATGGAGCCCCTGTGCTCGAACCTGGAGTCGAAGGATGCTTCCTTCGATGCTGCGGAAACAGGGAAGACCCCCGCGACATACGGTGTAGATGTAGCTCATATATTATATAAATTGCAGCAATTTTATAATTGGCTGCCTGAGCTTCAAGCATACACCATCCCGCAAACTCTTCTCCGTCGCATGCGGCTGAAAGGGGCCGTGGAGACACGCCTTGTCCATATCCTTCTTCTGCTTGTGCTTTATCAGGTGGTCCTGCAGCACCAACCGTTTGGGCAGTCGGCACACCAAAGGGGACAATCCCATGAGGCATCCTCGAGAAATGATACAACCTGCATGTGGCAATTTCGGCTCACCATCACTCACAGCCAACCCATTTCTTCGGATCTCGCGGAGGACCCCAACACTTCAAGGATCATGCCCACCCCCAAGTCCTCTCGAGGGGAGGCTTTGGGAGGGCTCTAAGTTTGTCACATCTTTCTGCCACCCAAAATCAATAGCTTCCACTGGGCGAGTGCCCTGACATCTGCGCAATGGCGATCGGCACGCCTCCCTACACAACCCACCAATGGAAGAAGATGGAGGAAGCAGAGGAATCACCGATCACCTCGCCCCTCAGCGCCCTTCAGCGTGACGCACGCCCCTCAGTCGTCATGACGCCGTCGTTTCCGGGACGCCATGGTCGCAGCACTCGCGGGGCCCTTTTCGTCACGCTCGTGAGGTCTTCACGCTGCCTGTGGCACCTGCGTCTCGAGCCGATCGCCTGGACGTCCCATTGTTGCAAGTCTAAACCACCGCTTTTCAACCTGGAAGCATTTCAAGTCAACACCCCATTCCATCAATTGACCTCGTTCTTGGCCATCTCTTTCCTGCTTTCACCCGCCCGACCGTCAGACCGACTGTGGGATCCACGTTCACGCTGCGGATCCCGTCGGAGGTGCGCCCTTCTTCTTTCGGCCCGAATGGAGGTGGCAGAAGTCCTCGGTGCGTCGCTTCCCAGGTCGATGACATGGAATTCCATGTATTCAGTTCTGCCTGAATTGGTCATGTTCACTTCCCTGCATGGGCTGGGGAGATTGACATGTATAAAGCTATTTTTAGAGCCTCATGCCCATCCCCCTCTTTGCCCTCACCGGCCAGCCCACCCTGCAATCCGGCAATCCGCCAACAGTGCCCTGCCAGTCCCTCCAAGGCGCACACAGCCAAGCCTTCTTGCAGCGGCCGGGCACGCGCTCGAACATGCACGGCCTGGCTTTTCGCCGCGCGGCCATAGAACGGTGCAGAGCTCATCACTCGGTCGGACCTGGAGCAAATCTGGTGGTGAAAAGATTTTGCTGAATGTCTTCTGATTTGCATAGGTCTTCCGGCAATGAGCGGCAAGGGATCATGGACTGATTGTCCAACCAAACCTTTGGCAACCACTGGCTCGGGTGGCTCACTCTTGATGTACTTGATCAGCAAGATTGGTAAATCAAATGTACTCAAAAAGGTCGAGAAAAAGAAGTCAAACCGCAGCCCTTTCCCATGGCCATCCGTTCCAGTCCGGTTTGGCCCGGACATGCCTGCAAGGTGCTTCCGTCTGGCAGCTGTGCAACAAGGAGCCAAAGGAGCACACCTGAAGGGACGTACGCACAGGGAGGTTGAGGAGATCCCTTCCACTCCCTGAAATCATCATGGAAGTGCATGGCATGGCCCGAAAGGAAGACCATGTTCCGAAGACCAAAAAGCTGGGAACTGAATGACACCCTTCAGGGCAGCCAGCTTCGAGAAGGGCCCAGGGCTGGCACCATGCCAGCCCTGGGCTCAATAGGCGAACCGTCCAAAAGAAAAAGGCCCCTCGGTGTCCACTCGGGTGTCGTGATGGGCGCAACATGCTGAGTCTGAAAACCCCCGCTCCACCTGGACACCTTCCCCCCCATCTCTCTCCCTCAAGAGCGTCACTCCGCCTGTAGCTGGGGCCGGTCCTGCGCCTTCAAGCGCAGCACGTCTGAGACCTCAGCGCCGTCGATCCAAAAGGTCGCTCCCTTCCGCAGTTGTGGATCCAGGAGCCGGTTTTGAGTCCCATCCAGTGAGTGGATGTTCATTCTGGGCACCCCTTTGTGACTCCTGGACGTGTTGTTCTGTTTCTCCGCTAGGCCTAGGCGAAAAGCCCCGAAAGAAAAAACAAAAACCTCCCGTGCCCTGTGAAAGACATTGAAGGACATCACATCCGACAGCAGCATGTGATGGTCAAGTTCTGGAGGATGTCATTTTCTTGCTTCGTCTATCTGATTCTTCGCAGTGGCGGCCCCTTTTCCGGACCACTGTTAGGGAGGTATGTCATCACCCCGGACCTGCTGTCGGCTCCAAGAGAAGAACCCACCCAATACAGCACGGCCGTCCGCGGTGGCAGACGCTTTGTTCCGCGGTCAGGGCGGCAGCTCGCAGAGGAGGCGGCACTTGGAGGAGAACCACAGCTCCACCACCAGTCCCAACCTCGGAGGGCTCAAGGCTGGTCAGCCCAGCGAGCCAAGTGGCCCCCACCAACAGCACAAGCGGCTCGATGGACTGGATGGAAGGGATCAGCGCTACCTTAACGATGAACTATCAGGATGAACTTCCAGAAAGTGGATTAGTTCATGATTCATTGTTGTTGCTTCCCTCCTTCGGTTAGAAATGTGTGTGCAGCGGTGGCTGCTTTTTTGGGGGAGTAGGATCCCAATATATACATCCAAGCATGGCACAAGGGTTTGCGAGACCCACTTTTCTGCCAACCAATCAAGCGCATTTCAATGCATTTCATGAAACCTCAGGAAGGAGATGAAAGGAGGCTTCCACTTCCTGAAGTGGACACCGCAGTTGGTGACCTCTTGGGTGGACCAATCCGCCGAAATCCGGCCAATCCAACGAAAGCACGGTGGGCGGCAAGACTTTCGTTCCGTCTCATCCTGCTTCGTTCCCTTCCACTCTCGGACGCGAGTGGACCGACCGGTCCTGCGACGTACGTCCGGCAGGGCGACACGGCGGCAGGGCGGCAGGGCGGCTTCGGGATGCCCCCAGGCCCGGCAAGTTAAGGCGTCATGTTTGCCCTGGTGGGGGGTCCATGGCCAATCGGTTCATAGCTTCTTGTGAAGCCGTGGAGCGTCAACAGCATACCCAGCAGCACCTGAAGGTCCAAAAAAGCTGGCGAGAGAGAGAGAGAGAGTCATCGAAATCCGTGAGACGTGCCACTAAACATTAAGATTCATGTGGATGCCAT